CCATTGCCGTAAATCATCTAGAAAGTGTGGGGGGAAAAAACGGCAATTGATCAGCATTTAACAAGGTTTTAATTCATTTTTTTTCTAGAACGAACGAAATTCCAACGATGAGAAATTGAGGCAATGTTTTTCATTCGGATTTTGAAAGCCAAATCGAAACGTTTCGAAATTAAATCTAAAAATGTGTTGCTTATTACAAACAAATCGAAAAATTACTGGGATTTTGGCTCATTTGCCAAACGGATACTCACCATTTACAGACTCTGAATTTTCACTGTCTAACATCACGAAATTTGAAAATCAAACCGATCACCTTTGCGACGATTGGAAATGAAAATGGGCACTTTTTCAAGTCAGTGATTGGAGGCTCCACAAACGAATTTACGCTTTAAACCAAGAAACAAAAAAAAAACAAAGTTTACATGAATCGACGCTGTCTCGCCTCTTGATTGCTTGTGACTGCCTTTTAAACCACTCATACGTGAGATAAAATTCCAGTTTTAGCAATAAAAAATTCTTCGATTCAAAAGACATAAAATTATGTTTATGAACGATGATCGAAGGTTTATCGCATTGTCGTGTAGCAAATTTTCTCAATTAAACTGCAATAAAATGTGACAGTGTCGGTGATAGCATGCACAAGAAAAAAGATAGAGTACGACTGTAGTCGAATTGAGTTTGATAAAATATTTCTAGAATAAAATGCGTAAAATTGTTTTTTTTTTCTAATGTCGAAATGTTGAAATGTCTCCATAAAATGTTGCAAAATGTGCGAAAAGTGTGAATAAAATTGCCAAAGATAAAAACTGAATGTGTTTTTTAGTTGAACCTTGTTATTTGCACTCTAACAAAGACGTACTAAATATTGCCATTGACTGAATAATTCAAATCGTCAAAGAAAAATCAAGAAAAAAAAAATGCACAGTATACATCGCCACCTGCAAATAATAATAGCTACCGTCCATGTGTCGTGTCATTTAAATGGCATTTTTATTTAAAAGTTTTTAATCGGAGAAATGTAATGGTTGTGTGTTTATTTATTTTATATTACAATTGAATCTTAAACAACGATAAAAGAGTCAAAGAAAGAGACTAAGCGCTTGCATTAGTTCAGATGCACATGAACGGTGGCTGGTTCAATGGTTTGTGTGTTGTCGTTGTGTTTTCGAATGCCGCCATGCAAACGGGCTGTGATTTCCGTTAAATCCTTCGTCGGATCACTTTCAATGTAGTCTATGTGATCGCCTTGTTTAATGGCCAATTTAACGGGATGTTGCATTTGTTTGGCTATCGTAACACCGTGTATACTTGGCACAAGGGCACCGGATTTAAAAAGAAATTCCGTTTCTGTGTCGCCAATTGGTTTGTTATCGCCATCGACCAGTTGAAATGAAATGTCATCGGGTATCGTTGTGATTTCCATATCAATATTATCAGCAACATCATCGAAATCGGTTCCGTTGAGATAGGCCGATTGTTTGGCACATCCAATCGAGATCACTTCATCCGGTGGTATCGATGATAAAACCTGCGCTTTTGGTACTAATGCCGAAATGGTTGACTGCAATTTTGGAATTTTCATTGATCCACCCGTAAAAATTGTCTAAGGAAATAGGGAAAAAGGAAAATAAGTGAAGCAAAAACGAAAAATCTTCAGAGATAAAATGTGTATTCAAAAAATTCATATTTCTTCGCCTAAGACTTGGTTGTAAGCAAGAAAAAACAACTTTTTCCAAACAAAAACATGAAATAAACCGTGCATACCTTGTCAATGTTAACGTTGTTCTTTTTGATAAATTCGTCGATGGGTCGACTGAATAGTTGCAATTTGGTGCCGATGACATTTTCGAAACGTGCTCGGCTAATATTCTGGCTCCAATCAATGCCATCCATAAGCGATTCGACGAAAACATGTGCCGATGGCATGGTGGACAGAATGTGCTTGACGTTCTCCGCCGTTTCGTTCAATTTGACCATTGTGCGTCGACTTTCACGTGGATCTAATTTATACTTGGCGAAAAATTCACTGGCCAAATATTCGCTGAGCGCTTTCGTTAAAATATTTCCGCCTAAGTGTGACAAATGCAGGCTATCAACAACGCTGTACAATCCATCGCGAACGGACATTATTGTTAGATCGGTGCTAAGACCGCCCAGACGAACGATAAACACATTTGATATTTCGCTGGCATCGATGCCAATGTCATAGGCCAAAAGAGCGGCCGATGGTTCGGTGATCACACCAATCACTTCGAATCCACCATCACGAACGGCTTTGCAATATTGCTGGCGACTTTTTTGTGACCAATTCATTGGCACCGCAATCACAGCTTCCAGTACGGATTCGGGCTTGGCAGCGGCATATGTTGCGTTTTCTGTGGAATGTGTATTGATCAAAATTATGATAAAATCGAAAATTAAGCAAATCCCCCTGAATTAAATCCTTCGAATTGGATAAAAATCCGTTCGAAAAGTCCAAAACGCATTGAAAATCACATTCTTTTCGAAAACCAACGTTTCAATTCAAATCAACCGACCGAAGTCTCTATCCACTTACCGTAGGTGTTTTTCAGCAAATGAACAGCCACTTCGAATGGTGTAATTTTGGTGGTAGCATCATCGCCTTTGCTCAATTCATATGCTATGCTCGACGCCGTATGGTTGACTTTGCACAAACACGACTTGGATATGGCCTCATCGATCTGTTCGGGCGTTAGATGATCGCTTAAAAATTGAAAATTGTTTACAACTGTGAGTGTTCCATTGCGTGCGATGCCTTGTTTGGCGGGCAATCCAACGCAAAATTCACTCTCTTGTGAGGCCGCAATGCACGCATACGAAGACCGATCACCGAATTTACTCGCTACAATTTCAGCTTTTTCTTCCTGCAACACGAGTGAAGAGAGAAAAAAAAAAAAACAACCCACATTAATCCGACTCATATTTCGATTTTGTCTATCGCAATTTTTACCTTCAATGTGCTCAACGTTATGGTGGTATTTCCCATGTGCAGCCCAAATCGACTTCTCTCCGTCATTTTTTCACGATTGGTTTATTTTTATTTGCTTGAAACTATTAAACGATTGGCGAACGCACGAAAAAAAAAACTCACTAAATAACTTTATTCGCCGTGGTTAAATGTAGTCACCGCAACACACGTGCTGTTTTACAATGCAAAGCATTCATATGCGCGTTCCGTTGACAGGCGACTGGCGCGAATTTGACATTTCAACCGTTTGACGTGAGTCATTCGCACGTGTGAACCAACCACTAAAACCAGCCTTAAGCCCACATTCAAACCACAGCATGTACACATTGACGTTTCGGTCAACAATTGTTTGTTTTTGTGATGAACCAGTTTTGGAGGAGATTTATCTTTCTAAAATGAATACATTCTGTTCAACAATGGGATATTTTTTATTTTTTGTCTGACTGCGCTGTGATGTTTTAATTTAATGTTTTTTGCAAATAAAATCAAAAGTCATTAAAAATTATCGGAAATGTACAGGTTCGGAGTCAACTCAATGAACGATGCAAGTAATAGAGAAAAACTTGGTCATTTTGAATTTGATGGAAAACAATTTTGGATTTTAATCAACTCGGATGAAAATATCGTTAATTTTTATTATTTAACAATTGTTTTGAATATTTATTGTGTTTATTGCATTGTTTCAATCGGTGCCAATTGAATATATTGCATGTATTGTACATTGTGCCAATTCAATCAGGCAGGCAAATCATTTTTTTTTTCTCATTCAAACAAACTCAATATTTAATCGATTTTATTATTTTTTTTCAGGCATTTTGATCACGTCAAAAAATGGAATATGGATCTTTTTTTTTTGAAAATGTTCATTTGGAGAGAAAATAATTCCATTTGTGTTTGTTAATTTGGCTCCAATTTTCGTTTTGGTTTGCCATTAGGTTCAATTAAACGGAAAGGAAACAAAAAGTTTAATTAAAATGAAAGAAAATTGAAATTGCCATTATTAACTTGACAATGAATGCAATGCAAATGCGTCGAAATAATTTGAGGCTTTGAGCTGAGCCGCCAATATTCAACTCGTAATTAAATATCGACTTTTGGTGAACATGATAAGAGATAAGCCAAAATGGTAATTTCGTAGTAAAAAGTCAACCAAATTAGCAATAGTTTCCCAGCACAAGTCACTTACGATTTGTCGTTCAGACAATCAACCAGCTAATTCGACACTCGGAATCCAATCTATAATTCCTGAGAAGACCATCACAAGGCAATCATGTACCAACATAGTCCTTGGTATGTTTAGAAGTTCAAAGTGAAAGTAAAATTTAACTAGAAATACCAATTTTCCACTCTTTTACTTCAAAAAGTCACAAAGTTTAGTGAAATAAATTCATTTTTTTTCTTAGTTTATTTAATTTTGATTTAGAGTTTGAATTTTTGTTGTATTTTACGTGAATTTTTTTTTGTTGGAAAAACAATGAAAAATATGATAAAAAAAACTCATTATTCTTAGGTGGACCAAGGCGCTTGGAACTGGTGTCACATTGATCATAATTTTGTCCATCGTTATTGTGGCATTTCATGGCGCACTGGCTCATGAACTACAACATTTTGAATCACCGTCAACGAATCGTTGCGAAATAAACCTTCAAGAAGCCCACGACATTGGAAATATTCAATTGACTGATGTAAGTAGTGCGGTACAACTAGTACCTTTCTTCTTCTAAATTAATTCATTGGAAACTAGTTTTTCTGTTCATATTTCGTGGCCGTATTTATAGTATACGAAGCATATCAATCAAATAAATTTGTTGTTCGTTCATACAACAATGTTGAAGAACAGATGAGTGTCGAATTATAGAAAAAAAATAGACTCTAGTGAGGTGTGCACTTACGAGTGCCACGGAAGAGTAGACCATAATTTTTTTGCTATTCATCTTGCTAAAAAGTCACGAAGAATTCAGTTGAAAATGAAAAGAAAAGTGATTTGGAGCTGAAAATAAATCAATCGAATTAATTGATGTAATGAAATTAATTCAGGGGAAATGCTCCGATTTTCACACTTCTTTTTGATTAATATGAGACTTTAATCTCAATAATCTACTTCTGCACTGCAGAAAATGAACTTTTCTTCACAATTTAATTTATTTCGGTAGACAATTTACTAGGATTTTAATTAATTGTTTTTTTTTTAAATTAAAAATCAAAGTTTTTTCTTCAATTGATTCCTGATTTTGGACTTGTATAAAATAATATAACGTTTTATTCAAATTTCATTGAAAAAAATTAAAAACCTGAATAAAATAGTGATTAAATGAAAAAAATTATTTTAAATTCTAGGGTGAAAAACGTGCTTGTGCCAATGGACTCGATTTGAAAATACGGGATCTATCTCAATTGCCACTGCTGGATGAGTCACTGCCAATCCGGAAACTGAATATCGAGCCTGAAACCGAAACTGAAAATGACATTGACATTGACATTGACATTGATACATTCTACCAAAAACCATTTGACCAATTAACTGAATTGCATATGTCGAATGTGATGGTGTATGGCACGACCGAAGCGAATAAATCCAATGCAAAATTAAAATTGCTCAGTATTCATCGTGATCGTGGAAATCGTGATTTGAACGAATTAATCCACCAATTCCCGGTGCAATCGCTTGAAACATTGGATCTATCCGCTAACTCTCTACCAAATCAATTGAATCGATTCTATTTCGTGAACATGACGGCACTTCGTGAAATTCTTTTGATCGATTGTCAGATTGAGCAATTTCCGTTCGACACCTTTCACTTCGTGCGCAATACCATCCAACTGATAAATTTAACGGGAAATCGTTTGATAAAACTTGCGCCGGGTTTTTTGTCAACGATTCCTGAACCAACGCTCAATCAATTGACCATTCGACTCGATAACAATCCGTGGATGTGTCGATGTTTCACAGCCAGTTTATCACAGCGACTTCTCTGCCTTGAAAATTGTCGGCCATCGATTGGCGGCCGTAGTTCAAACGGCGTGAATAAAAGGGTTGAAGCTGATGGCGTGGTCGAGTTGCAGTGTGAAGATTTGTCGGACAGCACGAAAACAGAAGTGGTGCTATTGAAGAAGCAAACGCATAACATTACCATCGAACCAAAGGATGAGTTATTGCTGAGAATTATGGTCACTGGTCCACCAAATGCATACTTGATCTGGTACAACGATTCGTTTGCATTCAATATGGACAACGATCAAAGGATTGCCGATTACATGCACTGCAATGATCGGCCGAAATTCGAGTTGGCCGTTATCGAGAACTCGACGTACACATTTTGTGTTTTGACATCGAGCGAAAGTGATGCAATCTCACCATTCAATTGTGTGGCATACTATGTCAATCCGAAATCAAGCAATTCCACCGATCCCGATTTGGTTTGGTTTACAAACGGACAGAAGGGGATGGTTTATGCCATTGTTATCAGTTCCATTTTGGTGTTGATGATTTTTGGCATTTTATTGGGCATTTTCCTAATTCGCAAGTATCCGCATTTGCTCAAAGACCATCAATCACCGTATTTGCTCGATAACAGCAACCGATTCAGCAAACGCAGCAGCTGCACTTCGTCCAGTGTGTTCAGTGTTGAAGATAACAATACCATAGACTATATGTAAGTGGATTCGTCGCATTCTGGCGAACATTTTTTTAGTTCTACACAAAATTTAAGCATCGTTCGTTTCTTTTCTTCTTTCATTTGATTCATTCCTTAGCCCAACTTATGTGACACCGAAGAATTTCGACTTTGTGAAGCCGCCCAAGGAGAAAGAAGTCATCGCCTTGGATGCATCTCGTTTGGAATGTGGGGAAAAGCAAATGACCGAGAATCACCACGAAAGCATCAAATTGTACTGGGACAATACGCAAAAACTACCAACACCGCCGCCAACACCCAATCCCAATGGAAATAAAAATGAAGAGGAAAACAACTTTTCCGATAACAACAACAAGGAATTGGATAAACAAATCGATTTGCCCATTGACAATCCAAACGAGGAAGGCGCCAAGAAAATCGACTATGCCGAATTCGATAAAAACCAGAAGCAAAACGAATAGAATCATTTCAATCGAGCTTGTACGAAGTGCAGATTCATTGTACGCTTCAAAAAATCAAATCTTATTCAATTTGTTTCATTGTAACACTGATGGGCACGAATAAAAGTGTTGTACAGCAACAATTCTATTATTTCTTGAATGAAGGTAAACGTGGTAAATCGTCTGCGATTTATTCGCTAAAAATGTTGATCGAGCGAGAAATATGAAGGTAAATTTATAGGATCGACACAAAAGCGAGCGTATCCCTTTAAATTCGGATTGGGCCAAGGGAAATGCAATTTTAAACGGCGCATACATTGCTTTCTATGAACGAGCAACCGGAATTGGATACCAGCATTTGAAAGCATAATTCAATCAAATGTGGAAAACAGTAGGCCATCATGTGTTGACGTTCACGTTCATGGCAAAAACGGTTGCCATTGATTCGTCTTGAATGTGTTTGTTTGTATTATTTTTTTTTTCATGTATCTTTTGCCGTTGTATTATTTTGTATCTCATTTGCCGTTGATTTTCATTGCTTTGGTTTGCGTATATAAAAGCACAATGTCCACTGTGCTTGCTCAAGGCCGTCCGATTTGCGAAAATCGGGTAAAAATAATGCAAAAATTCGTTAAAACAATACAACAAACGTCGACGACGACGATGGTGATGATTGCGGGCTAGAATGCTGTATTAGATTCATGAACATCTGAAATAAGATCGAGAGAGGGAGAGAGAGCGATTGTTTGCATTTCAAGTCAAAACAAATGAAGCTATTACAGATGACATGAGATAATAATGTGTGACTGATGCGATGAAACGGTTCTCTCTGCTTCTCTCTCGATGTCTTTGTGTCGGTGTGTGTTGATGCGCGCAAGGCGCGTTGCCAATTGATACATGTATGTTAAAAGGAATTTATCATCACCACGCAATCAAGCAAAATATGAAATGAGACGATGCAAACATACTCTCGCGCGCCCAAAATGAAAATATCTCTCATGAACTAAGAAGAGAAAGAAAAACACCAAACTCAACAAGTTGAAAGCATTTTTTTTTTTCGACGAGCTAGCAAGAAAGACAGAGAGAGAGAGAGAGAGAACAGGCAATTGTGGCCCATCTCAAAATTTGGCACAATCGCATCAACATCATTGTTAGTGAATCGAATTGTTTGTGGTCGTTGCAGCCGCCGCTTGTTCCTCTCTAATTGTTGTTGTCAGAAGCACATTGTCACACATTGTCGATATGTGATTATAGCCGTTTTAGCCGTGTCACAGCTTCCCTCGATGCCGCCCTCTTCCACTGATCAGCCGCTCTCTCTCTTTCTCTCTCTCTCTCTCTCTCTTTCTCTCTCTCTCTCTCTCTCTTTCGTCGCCTCATTGAGATCCGTGCACAATTTGTAATCTTAGCCATTGCCTATGCTCTACTAATATCTATCTTTCTTGTTCTCGTATTTCGATTGTCTCTCGATCGACACATTTGTGCGCCTTTTTGTTCACTTTTTCTTTATTTATAGCCGATTTGCCAGCGCAAACAACTATAATAACACGAATTTGAAACCATTGTCTATGAAACACGCTGACGAGAAAAGTAATAAAACAAACAAAAAAATCAACAATTTCGTATAAGACAAATAGCATTGCGGTGAGCAATGATATCGAGATACATCAGATACATCCGCCATATCGAACGAGAGAGAGAGAGAGAGAGAGAGAGAGAGAGAGAAGAAAGACAGAACGCGGCTCGTTTAATTGTTTCAACGATCATGAAAACCGAAAAACCACTTTTAGCTCAACAAACAAAACGGAAAACCAACTATAAACGCCCATTGCATTGAACGGCACACATACACACGCACACACACACACGCACAGCCACACTCACGTGAAATGCGTTAAACCACGCCGAAAAAAGGCAATTAAATCATTTCCACAAATTCGAATACACACAACCGCATTTCAATCAGCCAATTAATCATTTTTTTTTGTCATAATTGCGTTTGGTTTGATGAAGGAAAAAAAACGAATACAAATGAGTGGTTAAATGAATGGAACTCTGGTAAATTTGAAGCGAAAAAATATGAACGAAAAAATGCACATAATTACTCGAATTATTTCAAATAACTTTAATTTGATTGCGGTCAATATTTAATTTCTTCGGAAAAATTATTCAAATTGACATTATCGACACAAAGATCTGTGTGTTTTTTTTGCTAAAGCAAACGTTAAATTTCCACTCATCGAAGTTTGTGCATTTACTCGATGAAAAGAAATTAATTTTTTGCTTCATCATAGTAAACTAATGTGTATGAACTAAACTCATTTTCGATCATTTTTCAAGTTGAATTTTAGTGAAAAAAAAAAAAATAGATTTGACGACAAACATGTTAACAAATCGTTATTCTATCGAGTTTTATAAAGTTTAACCACTGCTTAAAGAATACCGCTCCGTTTTCTCTCGCAGAAGAGAGCAAAAGACTGAGATGACCCCATAAGCTAACTTGTTCATTACCTATTTTGAGTCATTTGATTTATCTCGGCCACAGAAATATTTGAATTTTTCTTTTTCTTTTTTCATCCATATTTGTTCTCATATAAAAAATCAAACTTTCATCCACGGAATATGTCCATTCTTAGACGTGCTAGAACCAGAAATACACTCTCCATGCACATGATCCAGTCAAAATAAGGAAATTTTGAGTAAAATCCATACTTTGCTTTTCTGAGAGCGAAAACAATCGCAATAAATTATGTTGAACCGACATTTCGTTCAGAAGTATTTGAAGTAAATTGGAATTCGGGTGTCTTTTGATAACATTTGCCGTTTTTACATGTTTTATTCATGTAAATTGGAACTTTATGCAAAGTATAATTTTCTTATGGTTCCAATTTGTTCATCATTTTGGTTTGAACTGTCATTCCACATCAATTCAACGGATGATCGATCAAAATTTCAGGATGTATCCTTCAATTGAATTTATTCACGTGTGGACATTTTTCGACTGAGTAAAAAGCCTAATAATTTCGGACATTTGACTGGCTAATGACTGATTAAAAATGATTATGTCGAATAAAATAGACGACTGTAGTTAAACTTCAGTTATAGTAGCCTGATAGTAACTCTTCAGCCAAAGTGTACAAAATTCGTCGTCTGCGTTTTTTGAATCCAATTAATCAAATCGAGAATTAATTATATTTTTCCTTACATTTTATATGTTCATTTTTGCATTTACTTCTCTGTATTTCGTTCGAAAGTTTTGATACACTCAAGAAATATGCGTAATGCGTGCGCTTAAGCGAATGTTGAGTTAAAAAATTAGAGTGTTCTTCCGAAGATTGCAAAGAGATTCAGTTAAATCTGTTTTTCCACAGCAGATTGATTAGGAAGTGGCGGTGGTGTTAATGCGTAACAATATCTGAAGCAAAGAATGTGTTAATATTAAGTTGATTTCTATTTCCGTTGGCCAATTCAATCGAAACTTCACACTAAAAAAGCCATGATAATAGCGTGCAAATTATCGTCGATTTCAAATCATTTCGTCTGTTTTTAGCTAGAGTCTTTAAATTCAAAGCTGTAAAATGTTTCTTTTTATAAATTTTAACGGTTAGTTCACATACTTGGGCAATTAAAAGTGATTATGTTGGAAATGTGTATCACGGAGCAAGAAAAAAAAAAGATGCGTATAATTAATAAGTGGAGTCAACGTCGGGCGTTGAGGGCGTTTCATTTTCTCACTACTGTTTTTTTCTTCTCTTTCGTTTGTTCATGATTTACAAAACTGAATTTTCATGAGGAAGGTCGTCCGAAACATTGAAAGAGCATTGAATTGTGAAAATAGTGCGGAAAAAAGCGGCGCGAATTTGTTTTATTTTCTGCGTATGAAAGGTTAACCATCATTTCCGAACGAATCGAATGAATGGTGAGCAAGTTTTGTGTGAGAGAGAGAGAGAGAGAGAGAGAGAGAGAGAGAGAGAGAGAGAGAGAGAGAGAGAGATAGAGGGAGAGAAATGTTGTGTTTTCAACAATGCTTATGTGATTCGGCGGTATCTTAGCTAGTTTGACTGAGCTCATTTGAATGAGCCAACTATGGATATGCAAGCGAAAAAAGCGAACGACAAAAACGAAACGCGCGCACACAAAATTTGTAGATCGCATTTTGGGATGTAATCAAATCAGCTGAATGTGACAGACGCATCGTTAGTTACGGGGTTTCTTTGATAATATTGTCATTAGACGCGGCACACACAATTTCATTCGGCATGACAAACGCAATTGATGCGCAATGCAAAATTTAAAGTTCAAGATCATCATCATCATCATCATCAGCATGGTTTTCATTTCAATATTGCATTTGAAATTCGTTTGAAAGAAAATCAAAAAACAAAACAATTACATTTGATCCATGTGCACGCGGACGTGAAAAAGACAGAGCGAGAGCGGTAGTGATAGAGTGCTGAATCTTCTTTTTTTTTTGCTTAAGTGCTCAAGTCACTTTTGCATATCTCATCACCATAACAATCATTTGCTCTCTACCGTACGGCATTTCTAGTTGTTTAAAATGAAAACAAACAAACGAACGAATGAACGAGCGCATAGAGAAAAAAAACCGTGTTTCAATTTCTCATAAATTTACATAAACGATGGGAGACATTGCGACATAATGTGAATTACATGTGCAGCCGTTGAGAGAGAGAATCGAATAGAGTGAATACGAACGATTTTGAAATCCGATTTATTTATAGATAAATGCGCATAATTGTGGCTTGCTTGCAAACCGCACACACAGAGGCAAAAGAAAGAAACAAAAACTGAAGCGTACACACAAATGCTCAACTATCTCTATCTATCTCGGTTGCATGGTTCAATGTCTTGAAAACAACTATAAAGGAATCGTGGGGTAATTCAATTCGATTCTCTTTTTTTTTTCTGGCTTCGAGAGACAGAAAACAACTCAACTAAACCGGTAGAAAATTCTTTGTGCACGTCACTGGCATTAATGAAATCCGAAATTTGCAACCAACATCAGCATCACGTTACAATGTTTGAAAAAGGCCCACAATTGAATAAATAGAACAGAAGAAAAAAAAAACAGTTGGAGCAGTAGCAGCAGATGACAACTTCAAACGAATCAATTTGATTTATTTGCGCATTGGATCTCACTTAAATTTCCACAGCCAAATCGCTCGCTTGTCTATGCGCCACGACGACGACGACGACGAAAAAAATGTACCCATCTCTATTCCAGATTTATTTCACCGAACCAAACAAATCGTCACTCATTAGCCATTTCAAATGCATGAATCAAAAGCAATAAATATTACAACTTCTAACAAAATGAACCGCAGCAAATGCAAAGCGCACAACTCATAAATATGATACATATGTAGGAAATGAACGAACATTTTAATTGCAGTTTAGATTAATTAAAAGCGACGTGTATGATTCCATTATTGACCACAATTTAATTTGATTTGTTACACTCAAACGATTCTTTGATCGATCATATTTTTGGAATATCGGACGGAAATTAATGGCCATACGAATTTTCGTTATTCCGATGAAAACGCCGTTCGGCGCTTGAAATAAATTCATGTAGTGACATTTTTTTCTTGATTTACCGATCGAATGCAGACATTTGAACGGGCTAATGGACGTACACATGCACTGACACATGCTCGCAATAATTCGACCATTTTATGCTTGAAAATATTATCTTGTTCGAAAGAGTAGTTGCGACAACCATACAATTATTGCTACATTGTAACCAATTTGTTCTGAACATTTTGAACGCGTATGGAATGAGACAGCGCAAATGTGGACAAAGTACAATGATAAAGCATTTTCCATAGAAATTTATAAAAACGGAATGAAAATTTGGAAAAAATCGAGACATTTGTTCTAGGAACAAGTTCACTTAGTTTTCAATTTTTCAAGTTTTTGGATAGACAATTTTTCAGAACATGAAGCTTTTCTATCGATAAATAACAAATGACACTTCATAACAAAGAAATGCTTTCAATCGGAATTCACTAAACACGTCCAGCCAATTACGGTAAAACTCTCATGGAGCAATTCCCAACGGATTCAAGCAGATCCAAGGTTAAGCGAGTGAGTGTAGAATACAGTGAACGTTCGGAAATCACGTTCACTGTATCGATCCGTCTTTTCGTCATCGACTTTTACGAATTTTCGAAGCTTGAACCGAGTGTGACAATTATGTTTGGGTAAAGTGTGAAAATCTCTAATACTTTACGTCGGAGTGAATTCTTTTTTTTTCTGTAAATCTTGGTCTTTCTGTATTTATTCTATTCTAAACATGCCAATGGCACGTTATACCATTTGGCAAATTATATTTTTTTTGTAAGAGTTCTCGCACTCTTTTCTAGCCAAACGTCTACTTTATTCAGCCAGTTCTGGTGACGGTGGTGTCAAATAAAATAGAAATAATTCTTTCTATTCTTGATTTCATTAAAAATGCTTAAAAAAGTGTAAAGACAGTGCAAAAACGCGAGGACAATAGAATCTTTTGACCGTTTTTCGCATAGCTCTGATAGGTTGACTGCATAAGGGTGAACAGGGCAAAAAAAAAATGGAACTCACATTGTGAACTGGTGCTGCTCATTAAAATCGACCTGCTATTCATCGCAATCGCAAAGCAATCAAATGACGATCTATATTAATTGATCGATTTTTATAAATTAGCTTTTTTCTCCCTTTTTCCACAGAGAATGTGTAAATTTAATTCGTTGTTGCTAAAATTAAATATATTAAATTAATCGCCAACGCATTAAAAATACCAAAAATTGTTTCTAATTACATATGAACGGTGATTTTAAGTGGCCTTTTCCCCTCTAATTAAAAAAATCGTAGACACTTTTTTTCGTGTAATTTTTTTTTTTACTCAATATTAATTAAAATCTAATTAACACATTCCATGTGCAAAGCGAGTTTTCCAATTTCGACACAAACTCTATGCGAACAGAAGAAAAGAAAAAACGGTTTGCTACTGTTCGATGACTTGATTGATATATGTATATTCCGTGGCAGTGTAATGTTTTCTAGCCGCTGAAGTGAATTCACTTTGGACAGAGCATTATATTAGGCATTTGGAAAACCTGCTTGACAAAAGTGTTTATGGTGTGAATTTTTCTTCAATTTTTTTGTTGTACTAGTAGATGTTCTCTACATCGATTGAGATTTGTCGATTGATCTAAAGTAAAATAAATTTAAAGACTTTTTAGTCTTCTAAAAATCTGCTAGCACTTTTCGATTTATCAATTACCATCTGAACGTTTGTAGCTAGTGCACAGCATGAAGATTAAGCCACATATTTTCCGATTTACTTCATTTAATTAGGATGTTTGGAGTTGACGTAAAAGATGAATATTTGGAGTGTCTTTTTCGCTAAATGCAATTTTTTCTCTCTTCATTTTCCCCTCCGCCATTCCATAAGCGCTACGATTTTTCCATTTAAAACCGAAAAAAAGTTATCGCTTGAGCCATTACGATGTCTCGATAGAATCGAAAACGCTGAGAACGAAAAGTTGCCTTGCTAAAAGTGGATAAGACAGAAAAAAAAACAGTGCATTCCTTGATGAGGGGGGTTTCTAATAATAATCAAATGATGTGTTTGTGCATTACTCTCTCGCATTTTTGCGCCTGGCCGAAACCAACCGACCGGTGTGTGATGTGCAATTAGACACGGTGAAAAATCCTTCATGAACATGAACACCGCGCGCCATATTCACACCTACTTCGATCGACTTGAATGGCCACGTGGCCCATGGTGTGATGGGAGAATTCGTCTTCGTCATCGTCGTCGTCGTTGTGCGCAAATTGATGCGTTTACACCGTACGCATTTGCAATAAATTAAAAATAATTCAGCTTGGACAAAAACTGACGTACGTGGCAATTTGCAAACAAATTTCGTCTGTTCCAATTCATGACAAGTTCAAATCTCTCATATGTTGAATGCCGCTCGAGTAATCGGCCGAAATTAGAAAAGGAAAAACCGAAATATATAAATCATATTATTAATAGAAGAGAAAAAAAGAATAAATAGAAGAAGGAAAACCGAAATTCGTTGGGTAAAATTGAAGGTGGGGAATATGAAGCTGAAATGTCGACCGTGCGCGCGTCCAATTCTCTCTCAAGTACAAAATGATGTACTTCTCTCTCGGCGAGAGAAACATGCAACAGCAGCAGCTTCGAATTGTCAACTGATTGTCAAAGATTTGTCAAAACAATGGCATGCCATTCAGAGAGCAAGTAATGGAGATCTGTTTTGTTGGCATCGCAACAGACGCATCGGCGGTCAAATAGTTTACACGTGATTTCCGTCTAAGCCCAAGAGTTTGACTTCTTTTTTTCGTAAACGAATTCATAGAATTAGAAGAAGAAAAAAGAAAACATCGGAATCAGGCAAATGTTTGTACATATTTTTAGAAATCCCGTTTTCAAGAGATTCCCTTGAGCTGGGCGAAAGCGAGTGAAAGAGACAACACTCGATTCTCTTTCTTTTCTGCAATATGTGTAAAAATGCTTGTCATATTGCAGGCTCGTTCCGCTTTATCTCGTCGTAAATATCTGTTTTATTTGCACATTTGTTGTATGGCTTTGGATGCCATTTCGATACTTAGCTCCTTAGCTTTTCGTTTTGTTGGTGGTTTTTTCCTTTCTCTCTCTCTCTCTCTCTCTCTCTCTCTCTCTCTCTCTTGCTGTCACGCTCGTACATTCTCTCACGTGTTGGGGCTCGTACGCAATTTTCAGGGAAAACCACTCGTTTTTTTTTTCATGTACATGGACTCTGTGAGGCAGACACAAACACAGGGCGTGCGCAAGAGGAAACGAGCGAGAGAAAATAAACAGAAATTTCTTTTTTCTCGTCGATTTTTGTGTGTGATCTTTCGTTAAATCATAAGTGTTCGTGTTTCTTTCTTTATTTCTCGATTTTTTGTTTCTCATAAGCGCCAACATATCTTCTCTTTTTGATTTTCCTTGGTCGGGGCCGGCCTTTGTTTGTCGTTTCGGGTGCGGGCCGTTCCCGAGCTGTGTGCTAGAGTGAGTGAGTGCGATCTTGTCGCGGGCACTATTTATTCGGCATAACCAGATAGTTAATGCAACATTTCTGTGTAAAACATTCAATATTGAAATTCAGTAGTTTCTGTGAATTTGCCACGATCGCTACACACCTCTTGATCTCAGTTATCATCTCATCGTTCAACTTGTTGCTATTATTTTGCCGTCTATTTTGCTGCTGAGCCTAGCAAACAATTCAATTTCGACATGGTTCGTGTTTGATCTCATCTTAATTCTTCTTTTTTTTCTGCACCATCCATCGAATGCTCTGTTTTTTTTTTTTTTCTTCTTTTGTTGTTTTTTTTTCACTTTCAATTTTTTTTCCCTTCTATTCTTGGTCCGCGAATGTTATAAAAAAAATTCAAATTTGTTTTTATTTTCGATTTTTCCAGGAAGATTTACCAAAAGATCAAGTCGTTTGTAAGTGTTGACAGCAGAAAGAATCAATATTGTGTACCAATGAATACAATGTGTTTGTGTGTGAGTGTGTTTGAGTGCGCACCAAAAAAAAGCACAAATCTTCACAAGGCTAACAAAATAATTAATTATTTATCGATCTTCGACGAATATTTCCCACATTTTTTTTAACTTCCCATTGCGCGTGATGGGTGCGCGAGACCAAGCGCCCGAGTGTAAGATTTCGAACGTGAGCGCGAGCGCGCGCAACCAGAATGCGTTCACATTTCGAAAAATAAACAATTGAAAACAATCAACGTGAGTGTGCACAATTCACTGGAAAATAATTTGTTGTCAAAACGTTGGACGAACTAATCGGTTATTATGTCGAAATGGACGCAAACAAATTATAGGCCCATTGAAATGATCGCGTTATAGTTTTTGATTTTGTTTCAATTGTTGTTGTTGTTACTGTTGTTGGTTTCGTTCAATTTTTTTTTCGAGACGAGACAGCCGAGTGCAAACCACCTGTCCGCCTACTTTTTCATGTGTTGGCCAGTTTGTTGGATTTATTTCGCTGTTTGTTTCGTTCGTTCATACATTCTCGATGTGCGAGAACGAATTCGTGAACAATTTTGTTTCTTTTTTCCTTCATTTTAAATACAACATAATATTTCAATTAATGAATAACGTAATCAAACAGTGCAAAGTAAAAATGCGGCGATGAGTGTAGCCAATCAAATGGTAACTAGTGCAAATAGTTTTTTTTTTTTCTGTTTCGAAGCAAACCATGTGCAATTGTGCGCGAGCGCACTCTTATCTTCCTCTGTCTCCTTCATCCATATTCCATACGCTTGCACAAGCACCGTCGCTGCCATTACCATTCTGCTGTGGCAAATGCTCGACATTTCAACAGCTCAACGCACTTTTCAATCGAAATCAAACGCAAAACAGAAGCTCTCCAACGAAATCAATCAAAGCCACTCGCCCTCGTCAACATATGAATACCAAAATTGCATCATTAATTATCAACAATAATCGTTCAATCGAAATCGACGTCGAAATCACTGCACTGCATTCTGGTTGCAACTAATTCAATTTGTTTCGAATAATTGTTCACTGCCAAAAGAGGGGAGTTGGACAATCGTAGAACGGAAATCGATACATTCTCATTTCTAAAGCGCTTTCGTTTTCATTTCGTTTTGAACTAAACCGACGTTTTTTTTTTTTCATTCGCTGAAAGTTCAACGAAGAAAAACTCCTCGTAAACGAAAAAAGTTTCAAGTTGAAAGCAAAGAGTGAACCTCGAGTAAAGAATGTTTTTTTTTTTTCGAGTCAAAATCTTTAACCTCTTCGAGTTTTTTCTTTCTGGCTTCGAGTTAAAACTCGTCGTGGTCTTTTCTTTTGCTCTCAGTCAGATGTTCGTTCAAAAAGCTAAAAAAAAAAACTCCATTTTAAATTTTAGCCGAGGGCGAAAAAAAGGTGCAAAGTGCATTGCAAATTCGATTCAACGTGAACTCAACTCCGAAAACTGTATCATTTATTGCAATCGGCAGATAGAGAGAAAAATATTTGTTGCCCAAAAAAGTCTATTGCAATTGGCAAGACTATTTCATTTATTATTATTTGCTGCTTAGCACAATGTTAATCTCGAATATTTCAAATTACAAATCATGATCATATGTATTTGCCTCGAAAATGCGCGCATATTGTTATTACAGTCCAGCACAGCACAGCACACACACTAACCTATTCCAATGAACGAAAATCACTTATTTTTGCACACCCTCGATGGCAGTATTGCTGCTGCCAAGCGCACCACACATAATTCATTCATTTTTCGCTGTGGTTGGGAGTGAAAATGTGCGGTGTGCGCCAGCAGCAAAGGCACAACAGTACAACAAAAGCAAGAAACGGGCTACAAACGTATCATTCAATGCAATGCGAGGTGTTACGATAATAAACACCAATGTTTCGGTATTTTTTTTTTTCTCTGCTGGGTTCTTTTTTCTTATTCTGGTGTGTACGCGCAATTTCGATCTTTCACAGTTCAGAGTTTTAAAGGCTGTGCAAAACGAGAGCATGCATATTGGGCTGGCTGACAGCAATGGCGGCATGCCGAGAGCGTGAGAGTGCACATTAGTATGCCTAACAAACAGTTGACACATGTTCGATTCAAGTTTATGTTAATCGTAACGCGATCGGCAACAAGTGTATTTTATGTGTCATACGAAATGAATGTAGTGCTGCTGCTACAGCAACAAAGTCATCTATTTTGACCAGTACACCATTGCCGCTGCTGCCACTGCTGCCTACCATTAATAACCCATTCATTGTGCGGCCACAATGGAAATCAACAACTCAACGCAATATTTATTCAAATGCATTTTTCTATTGTGCCGAACGAAAGAGAAAAAAAAAGGTCGAGCATAAATTGTGCACATTTCGGGATGACAGCCACAATACGTGTGAATTTAAACACTATTTCTAGCTGCAGTGTTGCAAATGTTTAGCTTTTAGCTTAAAAAAAAGAAAGTCAAAGAACAACGTTGGTGTGTCTCTTCGATCCTTTTGAAGAACGATGAAATCAATCTCCGATCAATACTGTACAGTTCAAAGGAAACGGCACACTTGTTGTAGCAAAAAAACTCAACCGTTCTTTCTTTTCTTCTATTAAAAAACGTTCTTCTATCTAATAAGACGTTTTCGACGATGAAAAATCTCTTTTTCCCATTTTTATTGACAAAAAAATTTCTATTCTTCTTCTTTCCGTTTTCCATTTGAAGACGAGAGCGAGAAAGAGATAAAACAACAAACAAAAAAACTCGTCGACTTTTCGAAATGCTGGCCACGGAAAATAATTGGAAATGTGTGATTAAATTGCGCGCGCCTTTGAAATGTGATTCCCATCGTATATTGTGAATTTGCGTCAAAAATAGTTTTCGTTTCATTTGAGTGTAACAAATGTTCGAGCCATTAATTCAATTTGAAACAGATAATTCTATTCAGCCAAGCCAAAGAAAACTATTTTAGTTTTCGCTTTTGTCTTTTTTGCGATTGTTGTTCGTTTTATGTTTTTTTTTCGGGCCATTTTCATGGGGTGATCGAGAGCTGTGTGCTTTGGACCTCATATTTACATTCAATATACACTATGAATAATAACAAGCGACGAGAAGAGGTAAAAAAAAACCGGCAAAACAACCAAATGACCAACAGCTAACAACCCTAGAATGATGCAATTAGTTTGAAAAAGGTATCAAATTACTCGATTCGAAATGTTTTCAGCGATATTTACTAATTCGAGAGCGAGAGACAGATTCATGTAGAGGTAACGGTACCAGGGATCGTACACACCGCCTGTTACTCGTTCGCTACATACGCGGAACACAATTGGCATTTGTCATAATATCTCAGCCGAGTTGGAAAGAAAAAGAAAAAGAAAAAGAAAAAAAACATCTATCCGGTTGGCGGTGTGCGAATGTAGTGCACTGTATCTTATTCTCCGTTGAACCGTTTCTTTATAAGCGACACACATCGAGTGTGTGTGTGTGTGGCGTGCTAAATCGAATCGATAATTGAACAACGATAATGAAATGAGAAAAGACAACAACAACCAGAAACCAACAGTTCAACTCAACTCAAAACCAATCCATTATATGTACCGTTGACGCCGTTTACACGTAGGAACAATAGAAATTGCTTAATATTTTCGCGCGCGCTGTATTTATTCTAGCTTACAATCGTTGAAATTGAAACAAAGTTTTTTTGCTGTTGGCTTTTTGAATATCAATCGACGGCAAGCGGTCAGTTTTGTGTTCAGACTGAATTGGCCGTTTTCATGACGATTCGCATTTGCGAGTTTTTTTTAGCGAACAATAGAGTGATAGGCGACGTCATGTACTACAAATGATACGCTTTGAACGATGCATTTTATATACAACTCATAATTTGTTCCTCTGTGCTTCTATCGCTCGCCTTATATTGTTCCAAATCCTGTGGCCCCATTGCAGTTGCAGTCCACGGACTGTATTTGTGTGTTATTTAATACGACGATTTGGCTACTATACTATTTGTTTTTTTCTTGCTTTTGTTGCTCGGGCCGTTTCAATCCCAACGGATAATCGATTTTCATCGGAAAATTTATGGCAATTGACGCGGCTAATTCAACTCGATCATTTCGTTTACGATCCATGTAAATAATCTGCAAGCGATTGTCTTACCCATTTTTTTCCCTTTTTCGCTCTTTTCTCTTCCATACAAATTGCCAATTTTGTTCCGAACAATTTCAGCGGTTGCTATTGCTCGTTGTTTTCTCTCGCTGTGTCACGCTGTTGTTGTTGTTATTGCAGGCTCATTTGTGCCGTGGCATATGTACAAATAGGCTCAGCACGCGTAGCCACACGAGTGACGATGGAACGATGCCAATTTAAACTGACTAAATAAACTGACACACACACACACACACAATGGGCGCTGCTCGGTTTTTGTTTTTGTTTCGCTCACCGCGTCGGCTAACCAGCCAAACTAATAATGAATCGGTAGAATTTCGGAGAAAATTCAATTCACCATTTACATAACCTGCTCCGATTTTTGCAAATGGCACACAATCGCTTCAAACAAAACCCATCGTCAATTTGGTGTTTTAAGTCAAGACACGGTTCCCATGTTGAATCAAACGTTGATTTTTTTCTTGTCCATGTTGCTCGTTTTTTTTTTCCAAAGCCTTTGAAGGATTTATCAATTTTGACAATTAATGTGTTCATTCTCGGCAAAACCGAGATGCAGGCGCATGTATTTCGTGAAATTTGAAATGTTGGGCTCAAGAGAAAAAAAAAACAAACTTAAACAAATCGATCGCCCGAAGACAACGTTTTCAATTAATTTATGTCATGTCAACTGCATGGAAATCTAAATAATCTGCACACTATTTTGGACGTAAACGTCGCACATTTGCATGCCAAACGCTATTTGTTAATTTATGGCTCTCGATTACGCAGCGTTTTTTTTTTTTCAAAATGTGTAGCACACAGGCGCAAAGGCACCGTTTACGCAAAACAGTTACCATTTTTGGGCTGTTGTTGAACAAACAAAAGACCAATAGAAGCAGCGCATTTGCCGCTGTTGTCTCTCTGCGGCGTGTCGCCTAGTTGCCACGAAACGCTTTCAATGGCCTTGTTGAGATTTTTGCTTCCGTGCTTAAAATTAATTGCATCGCTTGATTTTATGGACACGAGTGCATGTTTGTTTGCTGGTTGGCTGGCTAGCTGGCTGGCTGGCTGGCTGGCTGCTGCCATTTGAGATGCTGTTGAGGCATTTTTCGAAATGGAAAGTTGAAAAACACACAAAATGGTTTGGTGTTTTGTTTTTTTTTTTTTCACCCGAAACCATTTTTTATTTCTGTTTTCTGCAGTGCTTAAAAATGCCTTCGACGCTTTCGATCAGGAAAAGAATGGATTTATCAGTGTGACCATGGTTGGCACCATTCTCGGTATGTTGGGACATCAACTCGATGAGAAAATGTTGAATGAAATCGTGGCTGAGGTCGATGAAGATGGCAGCGGTCAAATTGAATTCGAAGAATTTTGCACGCTCGCCGCCCGGTTCCTCGTTGAAGAAGATGCCGAAGCCATGCAACAAGAATTGAAGGAAGCCTTCCGGTTGTACGACAAAGAAGGTAACGTCTAATTGGAATTTAAACCATGGAAATTGTGAAAAAGACCTGAAAATCGCAAGAAATGTGTCTCTCCCATAACCACAATTCGAAAAGAAAAACAAACTTCCATGATTTTTTTTTCTAAAACGATTGACATTTACTTTTCTAGGCAATGGTTACATTACAACAGCCGTTTTGCGGGAGATTTTGAAAGAGCTTGATGACAAAATTACAAATGAAGATTTGGTAAGGAAATCAGTTGCTATGACCCTTTGCTTCGAATGATCATTTTGGGAAAATCAAATGAAAGCCCTGAAAAAAACAATCGTTCCAATCCAGAGGGTCAAAGGCATTAAAATCATATCCATGTGAGCAACAGTGAAGCTAATAATTTTCATTTCATAGGACATGATGATCGAAGAAATCGATTCAGATGGTTCGGGTACCGTTGATTTCGATGGTAAGGCCAAAATCAAATCACCCAATCAATGTCCGAATGTAATTGAATTAATTCAACACATTTCGATTTCCTCAATTCTCTTTGTTCCGACAGAATTCATGGAAGTGATGACAGGCGGTGATGACTGAGGCGTTTTTAAATTAAATTAATATAAAACTGTTTTGTTTTTTTCTTTTTTTGCAATGAAATTTTAAAATTTATAGCGTACGCAACGCAAAACCAAACAAAGTAACGAAAAAAAAAAATACAAATACAAACAATTGTTAAGCATAAATCATGTGAATCATGTGAAAACTTTATTAAACAACGAATAAAACAAACACAACAAGAAAAAAAGAAGCCGCGCGCACCCAATTCATTCATTGATTAATTCGTTTTTCTACTATATACAAAAGCCCATAAATATGTATAAAATTTATTGAAAGAAAGAAAGAGAATTCAATAAAGGAAATAATGTAAATAAAACACCACGTTCGCTGACTGGCAATGGATTTATCGCCGGCAGAAAAAAAAAAACGAAACGATCGATCGAACGAACGGGAAAAAGGGGGCGCTGAATGAGTGTTAATCGAATTGTTATTGGAAATCAATTGAAACGAATTAGAGGGAATGAGAGAGAGAGAGATACACAGAAAGAAAGTGTCTTTTGGCATAGCGGCGCACATATCAAATTGTGTCCAATCAATGGTTGATAAATGTTTTATCATTTTGTGGAATTGCGGTTTTATTTGAGACAATTTCAGTCAATTCTTGTCAATTTCAGCCGTTTTCATCGTTGATTTACTTTCATGATTTCCGCGGCTCGCAATGTTCCACACACACACAGGTGAATCTGCCATCGCCTGTGCACGTGTGAATCTGTCAAAATCATGAGAATCAAAGCAAGTGAAAAATAAGGTAAGTCACAGCGCAAAACTAATAAATTTTCGTCATTGTTGTTTCGTCAATAGTCGACGAAACGTATTCGCCTGTGCTCAATAAATAATTCATAAATTGCGATGATTGCTTGCGATTTTGGTCGCGTTGTTTTTTTTTCTCACTCTCTTTATCTTTTAACACACATTCCATTGATTGCCAAGTGTTTCGCATTGGAATTTCTCCACACACAGAGATCATGTGAACCAACAATCTCTTTGTTGCAACCAAATGATCCATATTTTTGTTCGTTTTTGTTCGATGGTGGTGCCGCTGCGTTTTATGGTTTTCGACATTATGATCTAATTTCTCACATGAGCAAACGATCCGAGAATTTAGGCGTTGAAATATATGGTCGTTTTCATAATCATGAATCAAAACCAGACAATTTATCAACACAAAATGAATCAAAACGATGCCGAAAAAAAAAAACAAACAGCAACACACTCGAATCAATGCAAAGTTTTATATAGAAATTGACCACAGATTCAGCTCGGCACTGATTTGTGAGCCGTCGCCTTTTCACTTTGCTTATCTCTTTGTCTTTTGCGTACCCATAAAGTGTTCTGCTGTTGTTGTATGCAAGAGCTATAAGCCACAATAAGAGAGTTTCACATGGAACGATAAGTGATGCATGAAATATGTGATTTTGAATGGCTTTTAACGTTGAAATGTGCATTGCAATTTAACGCGAGCGAGCGATAAAAGTAAAAAAAGAGTGCACGCGGCGAAAAAAAGAAGAGAGACAGAGAGAAAATGCAGGTGATTAAGGCAAAACGGGGAGAGAAAAAATCAGCATCACGCGGTTGATAAACATGTGTAGCAAATGAATTGCAGTAGATCTTGATTGGTGTTATGAGAGCGTATTATAGGTTCATAAACACCGTGTGCACCACATTTCCAATGCATATGCACTTTGCTATCAATATCGTATTATATGCAATCGCAAAAGCAATTATTTGCCAACTTCTTCTTCGTCGTCGTCGTTTGAATTGAATCGTATTCGTGATTATAGCTCGTTAGAAATTCCGGCCGAAAAAGAATTTCAAGATCCCTTGAACGAAACCGTTTTTCTCCTGCATTTAAATCAAAATAGATTCTCCTGCATCGATGCTCATCAGCTGGCTCTCCCCCTAGACTCTCCTAGCTTCACTGAACTCAACGCTTGCAAGAGTGTACTTTTTTTCATTTCTTCAAATTTTAAACGACGTCATTTCGATGGACGATTAAATTTGTCATGGTATTTCGATTAGAGATCAATCACGGCTATTTTCGTCAAATGGCCGCTTATTTTTAGCATCAATTAGACATAGCCGTTTACCATGTATGTGCGTCGCTACTAAAACGCTCGCAGCACTTAGTGTAATTTAGTTACAAGTGTGCTTTTTCCCCCGTCTTTCGCCGTTTAAATCGATGTTTGTCAATCGATGAGGGATTGATTGTGTTCGGGAATCAAAATTGTCGCAGCCAATTGCCTGAAGCACTTTACGATGCATAAATGTATAAATAGCGTAAAATGTGTGTGAGCCTAATGTCAACATTAACACACAAATCGATTTGATTATACATTGCCGAACTCTCTCTCTCTCTTTCTCTGTCTCTCTTCTTCTCACTCACTCTTTCTCCGTCCATGATTCATCGATAGCTGTGTGTGCGCGCTCAAGAGATGGACCGAATGATAGAGCGAAACCGATAGACACTTTTTTCGCGGATTCACATGCGGCTGATTTTCAAAATCGGAGCTCGTTAATTTTCGATTTCAGTAATAATTAAGTCTTCGTTTAGATACATCGAAATTGATCGGAAAAGGCGCTTTTAATTAAAACACCTTGGGTGAACGCAGTTTAAATCATGGTGGTAAATAATTCGACATCCTTTCTTAGGACAAGATTTTTTTTTTGCCTTTTGCAACGATGGAAAAGAATAAGTAACTGATTGAACCGAACAAGAGAAAATTGATCAAAATCTTGAAAGGAAGCAAATTCTTAAAAAGAATCGAAATTCAGTTCAGTAACAAATCCTTCGGATTTATGGAAACGAATCCTTTGCTCGACGATCAATATAATTTCTGATTTTTTGTAGTTGACAAGCTGAAATTCACATCACTTGCAAACGGCGATGATAAATTTCAATTTTTAAAACGAATCGAAGCAGGAGAAAAAACTCAAGAAAAAATTAAATGAGAAATCTCGTTTATGCCATAGAAAATTGAGAGTGTATTTTTTATCTTCTGCGGAGAAGAATGGATTTTCAAGCAAAATTTCGTGTACAAGAATGGACTTTAACCGAAAAGTACGAATTTTGCAATTGGAAACAATGGCCAACAACAATGACGACGAACGAAGAAAAAAATCGCAGCACATCGAGCAAAAATTCTAGATTTTTCGGTTCATTTGTGTTTTAATACGTGATCGCAACGTGAATAATTCATGCAAATTGATGAGAACCAGCCGAGAGAGAAAAAAACACACAGAGACGTTTAAATGGTTTGCGAAAAATGTGTGATGCGAACAAAATTTCCGTTCGTCTGGCATGTGTGAGTGTGTGTGTGTCTGTGTGTACGTGCTGAAACGAAAAAAAGTCAAATGGCCAAGTGCCGTGCTGTTTTTCGAGCCAAATTCATATCGATTCATAAAATAGATCGCGATCTCAATGTGATTGTTGTTTTCTTTCTGCCGTAGAATGCCATCAAATATAGAAAAAAATGAATGAGTCAAGCCGAAAAAAAGAGTCGATATCGACATTACAATAATCTGACGATTGCTTGCTGTTATGGACTTGTAGTGCATGACCTTTATTCGGAATACTCACGGGAGAGGGAGAGAGAGAGAGAGATGGAGAACGAGCGCGACGACATGGAATTTGGTTGAGTTGTGGTTTTTTTTCGGTTCGAAAAGCGCTTAAAGTTTACAGTTAAATAGGCGAAATATGTGCAGCACGTTCTCATGCTCATAAATGATCTAAATCTTGAAAACAGCAAATATATTCATAAGCCAAGACCGTCTATCGTCTATTCCAATGCGTTGGGAGCAACGTTTTTTTTTTGTCGACCTCGTCATCGTCGTCGTTGTTACTGTTTGCAATTCAATTGTTGTTGTTGTAATAAATTTTTGTTTCGGTTGCTGTCGTGTTGGGTTATTACTGCATAATTTCAATTCATGCACTGCTGTCAATGATATGGTAATGGTTTTTGGGAGCGCGAGCTCGCGATTTCGGTTTGACTTGATTAGCATAATAGCATGGCGGATAGAGCAAAAGCACTTCGACTGAAAAGAGACTGCTCGAGATAGTGAGCGCAAGAAATATGTGCATGGAACACGATGACGACGATGTCGACGACGACCACAACCACGACCAGTGAATCTGATCTAGAGAATTAACATTTAACGATATAATTTTTCAATTAAACTAAACGAAAAGCATTTAGTTAAGGATCAATTACTGCCATTACGGGTTACCGTTTCGGTTCAAAGTTGCACGAAGACAATGTGAAATAGACGTACATCAAACTATTGTTTTTTCATCGCTCTGTTGCTATGCTAATGGTTTTTCTCTCTTTCTTTTCATTCTCAAGGAATTTGAGGATTTGGACAAAGAGACCGTCAGAAGTGAGTATTTTTTTGTAACTGGTGTATCGCATCGATTAAACACATTTTCGGTTCCATTGATCAACCTCTCTTTGCCGAGCGAATAATAATAACAAACACAACTGTTTTAGTTTTGCGAAATGCATTCACTGCATTTGAATCGCCGGAGAAGAAGGGAGTGATTATGGCCAATGATTTGGCGACAATCGTTGAAATGCTGGGCCATCGATTGAACGATCAACAACAGAAACAGGCATTGCGCGAAGCCGATCCACGTAACAGTGGCGAATTGGATTTTGAAAGCTTTGCCGTCTATGCATCCCGTTACGTTGAAGTTGAGGAAGATGCTGAGGCCGTTGCCAAGGAACTCCGCGAAGCATTCTTGTTGTACGATCGCGACGGTATGTCTATTTCATCCAAACGATATTTAATGCCGAAGATTTTTTCGTTTTTTCCCTACTTACATTTGCATTTGCTTTTACGTTATTCGGTGATTTGTTTCTCGTTTCTTTTTTTCAATGGATTTTTTTCTCGTCACGTCGCACGTTTCTTGATCGACTAATTTTCTACGCTACCTAAATACCATGTGCGCACAGCCAAGGGATACATCACCGTTGAGGTGTTACGTGACATTTTGCACGAATTAGATGACAAAATCTCGTCAGGCGACTTGGACTTGATGATCGATGAAATTGATGCTGATGGTTCGGGCACCGTAGATTTTGAAGGTATGAACATAATTTTCGTTTCTTTCCTTTTTTTTCGAAAGCGAAAGCTTTACAATTTGAAGATGTTGTCTAAACGGCTCAATATTTTCAAATGTTCTTATGAAGCAAAATGTAATTCAAAAAATTTTTTTTTGTTCTTCTTTCCGATTGCAGAATTTATGGAAGTGATGACAGGTGAAAGTTAAATTGAAGTAGAACCAAAGTAGTGAATGTGTTCCGTAGTAGTAGAAGTAGTCGTTATAGTTGTGTCGTTGTGTTTTTGTTTTTTTTTTTTCCTTGGCCAAAGTGATTTTTGCTCGTGCTTTTTGCTGGACAGTTTCAAGAAAGGACGTGGCACATTGCGGTTCTGACCGCATTTTCGACAAAGACGAAGGCCATTTCTTGTGTTTTATCCCAAGAGTTTTTTTTGTCGCGTGTAACAAAACCAAAGGCAATTTTGTAAATTTGATTCCAGTGCTTATTGATTACGCGACTTAACGGC